ATATTTACATTGCGTAACATCACTCTTCAGCTCATATCCGGCAAGTTCCATCTCTACAATAAATGCGGGAGGCAATTCGTTCGGGATTTGGTCGCGGGCTATGATAGGGCAGGTATGGTTATGTGGAGTCTATAGGATACCCATCTCATCCTGTGCACATGACCCACACCAGTAGATGGGCATGATGGGGGTAGACGTAGTCCATGTGTTTGTGAGTGTATGTGTATGCTAAGCTTTAACCTCAGAACGCACATATGCACCGTAGATGCCTTGAGATGTGGGTATGTCGCTAGTTATAGCTTGCCCAATCTGTGACCGCCTGGCGGTGTAAGGTGTGCGTTGATGTGGTCCTGTCCATTCGGATTGGATGAGCACTAGTTGGTGGTTCCTTTAATGATCATCTGTGCGTGGTTTCAAAAACAAATTAACAAATACGAACACTAGATTGACAATACCAATTGTGTATATGTCAAGTGTCATATGCCCAGAGCTGCACAGTGTATGTACACAAATTGTTAGTATATATAAAAAGGAAAAGATGCTATACGCAACATAACATATCCTGTGTGGTTGCTATGACAACATGCACTTGGCTACTGATATACCTCTACTGTGCATGTCTCGGCATAGAATATTAATCTGACGACTGTCACATGCGCATCGCAGTATCGTGGCACTTGTCATGATTGTCTCAGCAAAATATGTTTAATGGTCTGGGTTCGATTGGGCTCTTGCGAATTGCCGCCTGAATTACAGTCAGCTGCATTTTTGTTTTAACTATACTAACACTGCAAGTTTGTATACTGATGGTAATTTTACACGCACACACATATATATATGTATATATAGATTTAAATATATATATATATATGTATATATATAAATGTGTGTGTGTGTGTGTATATATATATATATAATATATATATATATATATATATATATATATATATGTATATATATATATATATATATTGGCATTCTCACGAAATAGCCGTCCAATCATATGATCGCAGACTCCCCGGTGACCCCATTTACGCAAGTGGTCATGAACCTGCCGGCCAGTGCCATTGAGTTTCTGGATGTTTTCATAGGACTGTTTGCCAACAATCACACAGCCCCTCTCCCCACCATCCACTGCTATTGCTTTTCAGCTGAGAGTGACCCGGAAAAGGTATGTCCATTGGTCGTCCGTGAATGTGTTTGTGTGTGTGTGACATCTATTTGCGTACGTTGATCGGCTTGTTGTACATTAGGTAAACCCTAAAACCCTAAAACAATATTCGTCAGAATGCGAGGGTGCGGATGCCAGCAGTTATGCCTGTGTGCCTAGAGTGTGACGGTAATAACGTAATGTATAAAGTGACGTTATAAAGTGAACATACAATATGTTACGCTAGTAATGTCATGTCAGTTGCTGTTCAGGGCTTTTGTGCGGGTCCATGTTTGTGAAAGTGTTTATTTGTCTACCCGCTTCAATCAATGCCCGCGCTGGAGTATTGGGAGTTGCACCACTCGATTAGCAAAATGCTTGTACAGGGATTAGGGTTTAGGGTTTTCTAAACCCTAAAACTTCATTGGCTTGAACACGCGTGGGTCCTATCTCCCCAAACATTACCGCCCAATGTGAACCACGCAACAGTGTCACACACCAATTGATCACTCCCATGAGTCACCCAAATGAGAAACACCCACTCGCATTGACCACTCATAGGCTCACAAACCACAAACATACCAACCACGCACACGTTATGTTTGCTATGTATCACATGCTCACCAACTGACACAACTTATGTTTTATGCAATGCATTCTAGAATGTACAAGCCTTATAGGCGCACACACCATATACATACCAACCACACACACGTTATGTTTACTATGTATCACATGCTCACCAACTGACACGCTTCTGTTTTATGCACTGCATGCTAGGATGTGCAAGCGAGGGTGGAGAAAGTGCTCAAATACCAATTTACAGCAGACGATCCCGTAAGGTACAGCAGTTGCGTTGCGGCGCACTTTGTGAAGCGCAGTCGAATTTTTTTGTTGACAATTGTTTGTTGTGTGTGAACTGGACCTGCTGCGTATGCATGCATGCGGACGACAATGTACGTGTTGCTGAGTGGTTGTTTTAGGGTTTTAGGGTTTTAGGGTCTTAATCAACGTGCAGTGCGTGCAAGTGTCTGTGCCATTGTGGTGTGATTTCTTGGGCAGTGGATGTGAGACCGCTGTGCCCGTGTATGGCTACGCTAACTACTGCGTGTAGTGTGTGAAGAGTGTTTGTTCGGTGGGTGCGGTTACCTTTAAGTTGTCTGTTGTGTAAGTGCGTATGTGCTAGATGGAGGGAGCAGATTATCTTTGTGTACTGTAGTGTAGTCACTTAAACCATTTCTCTATTTCTGAATTATGTAAACCTAATGCATGTTGTGTGATATAGTATCTTGCAATAGTTGATACGGTAGTGTATCTCATCAACATATGTTAGCCACACAATCATATGTTTATTCCTTCTATCCGCTGCGGTGGCATGTGGTGGTGGTTAGCTTTTGCATGGATAGAGTCGCAGAACACTTGGGGTGGCTGGTCTAAAGTAGCACAGATACACTTCCTCGACTGTGCACATGGGACTACAGTGTGTACCATGTGCGTGACATCTCGCCAACACCACGGCTCTGTTGAGTCGTTCTCATTTGCATATAAACCCTAAACCCTAAAATCTATGTTCTCCCTTGCGCCTTCAAATTGACTTGTATCTGTATGCTCCCATCTCCCAGAATCTGAGCTTATGTATGTATATGTTGTTGTTAAGCAAACCATTCGTCACCAAATCTTTATCTCCAACTTGAACGGAGATAACTCCCGCAGCTCATGCACTCATATGTGCACACCTCTTCCGCAGCATTTACGATGTTCGAGACGTGTCACCGCTGAAGCGCATGTATTGTGTGACATTTTCTTTACCGCCGGGAGTGGCGTACAACACATCACCAACAAAACGAGCGCAAGTGGAGGAAGCCGACACCCAGGACGGAAAAACTAAAAAAGCTAAAAGCGATCACGACGAATAAAATTAAGATACTTTTTTAACGTATTGCATATAAGCTTACTTTCAAGGCGGCCTGTTACAAAATTTAAATGTTTTTTTGTGTTCACACATTACCTATAAGCTTCCCTTCAAGGTGGTGCGTTCTGCTATAAAGTTAGGATACTAGTCAGATTGACTTATCACCTACAAACTTCCTTTTTCAAGTGTTCTATTCTAAAATAAGTACACTTTTGATGCACACGCAATACCTATAACCTTCCCTTCAAGGTGGTGTGTTCTGCTATAAAATTAAGATACTTTCTATGTTGATGCATTAACTATATAAAACTGTTCATTTCATGGTCAAACCGGTAGATAGGCTTTTTATGTACACTTCTAGTCATCGTACCACGTACTTGAAGGTTTTTTATTTCATCCAATCAATAGGGATAATAATAATGATTTCAATTTGGATAAAACACGGCTGGGACGCCGCGGGGAGTGAAAACGTATACTCAGAGGGGTAATTCATTTTGTTCATATTCACGTTTAAATATTGGTAAAACATTCCACAGGGACTCCAAGCCGGTTGGGCCTCTGGGCTTTATTTTTGTTTTTGTTTTTTTCAATTACACAAACAAAAGTGGAGTCTTTCTTTCTGAAATGAGGAGCGACTCCAACAGGGTCTACAAATGGGTCAAAATTTGGCGACGGACAAAAAATAGGTGATAAAGTCGACAGGGAGTTAGAAAAGCTTACGCTTTCAGTGATAAAGTTTTATATGTCTACATGTACATCAGGCTTCATATTCGTTGGAGAGATTTTGGGGAAATTGAAGGGAAGTTGAGATTGTCGAACTGCCGCGAGAATCTCGCGGAGAGTGATGCAACGATGGAATACATACGGTGCGTTAGTTCACGGCGATGGAGTGGATTAAAACCTGTGTGCCATTGGGGGGAATAAAGCTCATCCACACTTGTAGTGGTAATACGGGCTTGGTCGGTCTGAGATATTTAGAAAGTGATACCAAGGAGGGTGAGGTTGTCATCCGCAATTATGTTTCGGTGCAAAGTTGGGGGCTGTTCGATACCACACCACACAACTGATGTATTTGGAATATCCTGGCTAGCCATAGCGGTACGTATCATAGGTGGTACCAGAAGTCTCGAAGATTTGGTCTGTACCGAAATCTGGGATGTGGGGAAAGTCAATCTATCGACTAGAACTGGATGAGGATAAATTGGTGCCTGTTGTTTATAGAGAAGGAAGCTCCCGAAATGTTCGTGGAGAGTCCATATGCCGTGGTAATTATGCCGATCCTGTAGTTGTTATAGTAAGTCCGGTCATATTGGGGGTAGGTTAGGGCCCACCACAATACGCCTTACTAGAGAACTGATACAAGCAAAGTGACTGGACGTAAAAGTCTTTTCTCCGGTACAATCAGAACAGAGTCGTCCACCAGTACGATAGTCAAGCAATTTGAACAGGAACGTGTTGGTTCCTGTCATGGTACAAAGGCGGATTGGGGTGTGTTCACGGCAATGGGTAAAGCTATAATGGGATGGATTGTCCTTGTTTTAGATGGGAAGCTCTTCCCTTATGAGTCAAAAGTAGTATTGGCGGCGAGCCTTGCCTGCTATCTCCTTGGTTGTGAGACGTTATGTGGTATTATGTCGGATCTTCTCGCGGAGCTTACGGAGTTGTTTGTGTTGAGGTGTGCACGCGTGCCTTGATTCTAGATAAGCGTGAATACTGAACGGGAATTTGTCCGGAGGTCTGTTACGTGTCCAAGCGGGCCTCGTAAGTGGGGCGAGTGGGTTTGTACTGTTGATTGAGTCAACATGTAGTCCCAGGCAGCCGCCAAGGTACTCCGCAAATTGACGCGCTGGAAGTAAACCGTAAAAGCGAAGAAGCCGTATGCGCTGGTATGGGATATTTGGAAATATAGTGCCTGTTATGATAGCTGCTGCGTGAATTAGTGCTGAGTTGTACCGCTCGTACAACGGCTTTACCGCGTCATGCCAAATATGTGGAGCCCATGCAATGATGTTCAGACCGTAGGTGGCCGTCGAAAGCATTAATGTCTTGAACATTTCCAGCCGATTTCGCGCCAGCTGAATCCACGAAACCCATACGCCCGGAAGAACACTACAGCCTGGAGTAATGCTGTTTCCATGATATGGTCCACGTGTTTTACAAAGTCGATACCCGGTATGCACTGGGACAGTTGAAATCCTAAGTATTTGGAAGACTGTGGACAAATGTCAGAGAGTTCCGCTGCCATAGGCTTGGGAGGGATACGTAGGCGTCTGTTAAGAGTGTTCGCATTTGGGGAGCCTACTAGCGTTGGCGTGATGAGATGTCCTTTGATACGGAGAAGCTCTACCTCGTGCAGCACACTCGACGACCTCTTTCGGAGCTTAAGAGTCCCTTGTTCTAAATCTAGTTCTATGGCATTCCAACGTGGCGTAACAGCATCCACATACGCGGTAGAACCAATCTATCGTTTGCTTTGGTGATGTCAAGACACATATCATTCCAGGTATCTTTGTCTCAGATTTCTACGCGGCTAGGAAATGAGTATAACAAGAGTAGTGTTATATTAATCCAGCTTGAGGTTAATGGATGGCTGATCCGGGGTGATTTGTTATCAGCTGTGGGAAGCATTTCTCAAAAATGCGTTGAGCAATCTGCGTTAATGTTATCGGTCGGAAATCGGCAGGGGATGCAATATCCGTGACTACTTTCTTCGAATAGGATGTCAAGAGGGTACAATTGAGAGCTTTAAGAAATGTACCAGCCATTGGAAGGGCGGAGAAAGCCTCAACCAGGATGATAATGAGTGGGCTGTCAGGGTCAGGGCGTCCCATAGTTGGGGTTCAGTTCATCGTTCTACTACGTCCTTAAGGAGAAGGATATGTATACCATCTGGACCAGGACCACTGTTTGGGTAGCGCAGTATTCCCTCCAACACTATCTCCGAGTGAATAACTGCATTCGATGGAGGTGTTGGTGCTGTGTCCGGTGGGATGACGTGTGAGTTAGTTAAGTTGAAGAGATCTTGGTAGTAATCCGTCGGTGCAGCGCCCGAATCCTGGACACCTGGTATGTAAACGCGGTGATTGACGTTGGTGTGCTATATCCGTGTACATCTGGATGATGTGTTGGGCAACATATCGCGAGCGGAATGTGTGATTCAGCAGTCGTTGTACCCACGGTTTGTCAGTGTCACAATAGTAACCTCCAAAAATGGCAGAGTATGCTGTGTAGCGCTAAATTCAATCTAGAATACGCTCTGATCCGTCTGACGGTCCATATATTGTCAGGTATACCCGTAACAGGTGTTGATGCTCACGTATCTCAGCTTGAAACAATAGGGTGCTGGCTTTGTCGTGTAAGTTTCGGTCTATCAAGGCGATACTATCGCCTTAGGGCAAATAAACGCTTAGGTTAAGTCTAAGTATAACAAAATTCAAAGGAAAATAAACGAAATGGGTATTTTAGTAAAATTAGTTTTGCCTCGTGAAAACAGCAACACTCGAGGGATTGTGAGGCTGAGACATTGCCTATATATAATACTCTCAGTACTGTTTTTGCCGAAGGGATTTTATTTAGTGTTTCGTTGTCGCTCTATTACTACGGTATGTTTCGTTGGGGCGAATCCGAGCGGCTCATAAATGCTATTTTTAGAAGAAGAAAAATATTCTCTTGATGTCCATAGCTATTGCATTAAGCAATAACTTGCCACTTATCAAGAACTACCGACTAGCCTTCATCAGCCTAGCACATCTGTTTGGCTGAACGGAGGATAAACCAAGCAACGCTAATAGTCTTTAGAAACCCATGTTCGGTTGAGCCATCTCGCTACCAAGTATTCCGATATAAATAGATTTGGAAAGTAAATATAGTTCTATTAATAGAACTAGACCAAATCTTATATTTGGTATTTTAATGGGGCCTTTTTATGGCCTTGTCCAAATATCTGATAAGTAAAATAAAAAAGATATTTAATTAATACAACCGTTAAAAACCATTTAAGGCAAACTAAGTTTACGTACTTTTAGGAGTACGTTTATATTACAAGATTCTAATGTGGAGGCCCGGCTTTTACACCACCAAATAGTCCAAATTTTTCTCTGTGCATAGAAGTATCAATATATCTGCTACCTCAATATTGTAGAAAATCACTGCATCCTTATGTGATTTATTCATATCAAATTTTCAAATTTCCAAATTTACGCTTAAGATTCTGTAATTCTGAATGCTTACAAGGATAAGAGAATATACTGATTTTGAATGCACAACATATACTGACTGCACACGCATAACTATTGAACGCACGAATCTTGCGTAGTTGCATGCGAGCATCAATAAAGCATTTCTTAGATACTCTTTAATCGGAGGCAGGGCTTCTGTCGGTTTATTGATCGTCTCTCTCTCACGTTGTCCATGGGTTTCAACTCGAGTGTGCGAAGGCTGTATGACTGCAACCTTTGAAATATCACATTCAAATCTTATATTGAAAGATGATAGTATTGATCGATTACGACTGCTTCAGCGTGTGTATGTATAGAACTAACATATTTTCTTATCACATCAATAATATGAAACAGTGGTGTTTCATCATTAATGGATGTCACAGACCAAGTAGTCTTGGAACATCCATTCTGTTTCAAAACTCTTCACTGGTATTAGATTCGTCACTCTGATCACCGATACTTTCGGTTTGTGTGATGCAATGATTTTTCGACACTGTCTCCGCTGTGGTAAAAACGCTTGCATTTTTTATTCAGACGTATGATCTGACCCTGAAAAATCCAGACGTTGCGTAATTGATTTGCTAGTACCACAAGTACACTGTTCTATGATATTGTTCCTTTCAATAATGCTCGTTAATTTTTGTAAAACCCTGTTTTGCTAAAACGTTGCTTGTGCGTGCAAGTGCAGCCGAAACAATATGCTGCACGATGAAGGGTGGCGAAATAACAACCAGCACGCCGAAAATTGAAACTGCTTACTTCAGCAGCTCTAAGCGATACAGCTTTGTACTTACACCCTAACCCACAAAATGGCCATCAGAGTGCACACCACTTTTCTTCATAACACATGCACAAGCTGGTTTTTCCTTTAGTAATGTTTGTATATGTTACCGTCAACATCTTCCGTACACCACTTACGTAGTTTTTGTTTTTGGACAGTGAGGCAAATTATGATGGCACAATAGCACGTGTATGTAAAATTATAGGTTAGTATACATATGTGTGCGGTAAGAACCGCTCTCCGAGATAATGAATATTGATAAAAAATTATAGCAAGTCCTTTACTTTTACGGTTTGGTAATTGATGTATATTAGAAATTGAATTGGTCAGGTGCTAATTCCTTTCTTATATGTTTTATTTCAATGTTGCGTGGACAGCTAATTTTTCAAAAACAAAAGTCACCAAAATTTCACAGTAGAGTCACCATACTCTAAAGCGTACTATCGTTTTTTTATAATCAAAGTCCGAATTGGATTGATTGGACTATTGTGAAATATATAACACCTTTACGTTTGTACGTATCCAGAGTTATGCATATACATTAGACATGTGCCTTCACTATTAGGCACCCGCTATTTATACACTAACAAGGATGTTGTCTGATATCTATGAATTCCACTGGTCGTTCAAACTTTTCAAACCCCTGAAAAATGAAAACCTTGAAGCACTGAAACTATATTTCAAAAAGTCGTCGGAAAGGTAGCCGTCTGTTTTGAACTATATAAACCTATCTACATTTAAAATATATGCAGTTTGGAAACGCCACAGCTTTGTGCCAGCCGGCTATGAGTGCAAATAGTTGCAAGTTCTTCAAATAGTCCAAATCGTAGTAGTTTGAGAGGTCAGTTATTTGGTGCACCTTTGTCCGCGATAACAGAACACATCTTTATTTCAGTATCTCTTTCGGATTGTGCTCCGAAGTTCTCGAGCATCATCAGATCTGTTATATCATCAACACATAGACTCGCTGCTCCGTGTCATTTGCAGTAGATATTGTGACTGATGTCCTATTCATATCATCAAGCCCGGCGTCGTTAATTCATTCGAGTGCCGTCTAACACCTGTCACGCATGTAACGACCGTGTGCTGTTGAATGGTGCTAACGGTAGGCGAGTATGATTTCTGTGAGGATCCCGTGGGCCAAAATTTTCAGTTTATACGTTTAAAATAAAATACGCTAATTTCGATGTAATTTGATAGAATACCACCTTAATATATTGTACGTGAAAATTGGAACATATCTGATATTTTAAAGCAATATGTTTCCTGCGTGGGCTACATGACTATAGGGTGGGTTTATACCACCGTTCGGACTCGCAGTTCAGAGGCATTGATATACATACAAAAGTATTTATAAATATGTCTATCAAAGGTGGCGTTACAGATTCACTTGCTCATTCCATTATCTGATGATATCCAACACTTCAATACGCAAACTACAAAGGGGTGACGACATGGGACAATTTATTTACTAATAATAAATATATATATATATATATATATATATATATATATATATATNTATATATGTGTGTGTGTGAGAGAGTGTGTATATTATTGTATATATATATATATATACTACACGTAGACGTACGTACCGAACGGACGACGACGACGGGAGGTAGGAG